AACTTTTGATTTGTTTACCGCTACTGAAAAGCGTTGGCTTCACACACCGGTAATGCATGCAAATGCCAAGACAACAGGGTTCCGAACAGAGATTGCTTTACGTATGCGCCACCCTTACTATGGCACCTGTAATGATGAAGTGGGAAATGGAGCCCATTTATAAATCGCTGGAGCTTTTGGACTTAATATATATATATAAAGAATTATAACTGTACATATAAAATCTCAATTTGTAAAGTCCTTGTTCGTGGAATACATCTGTTTTTATTTTCCTCATTCGTATTCGGTCCTTAGCACTGTCGGACGCGGTGTGCATAATAAGCAGCCGACGATCAATTGCTATAAGTCAAATAGAGTCCTGCGTCTCCAGCGGGATCTAACGAGGTAGCTGCCGAGTTGTTGTTGGCAACACGGAATATCACTTATGCATTTGTACCTAATTTATATACGTGGTACGATGAGCAAATATTTGTATGGAACTGATCAACAATCCGACCTTCTGTTCACTTACTACCTGCGTACGGCAATATGATTGTCTACCTTATGCCGGATTCACGTTCAACGTGCAGTATATTTTTACAACTTGCACTATTTAATAATAATATTTAATACTTGACAAATATACTAAATGTCACGGGAATAAATTCGTCCCCTTATCTTCTAAATATACTAAATTTTACCTACCCGTAATTAGAGCCTTTACATAATAAGTAATGGGTACAAGTGGATACCCGCATCCACTAGGACGCAGCCTGAATGGTGATGACTATAGCATGACAAAATAGATGATTTCCACTGCGCTGTATTTAGCCTATCTATTTAGACCAAGGTATCCCGTGACGTATATGTATCATGCCTTTGCATATGGACAAACATAGAATCGTATAGATCCTCAAATTCCAGCCTTAATTTCTCTTGGATATTGATGTTGATGATTATGTTGGCGTTCAAGACAATAACACGGCACACAGCCTAGATACCTTTATTCGATCACTTTGGGCAGAGCGAATAGATTTTGAGTTGTACCTTTACCTAAATGATTGTATAGAAGGAACCTGCCCAAGCCGGATCATGGGGTAAAACAACGATGACCTTAATTACTCGATAACTAGCCTACCCATCCTCTTCGCGGCTGAGGCTTTCACCGTATGACATTTAGCCATTCGCCCACTCGATGACCTTTACGAATTCTCCTCCTGGAGGAGAATTCGTAAAGGTCATCAAAAGCAAAAGATTCTGCCTATAAAGAAGCGGAACTTGACTGGTTTAATTTTTTAGCGTCACCCATCTTAGTGAAATATTCAAGGTCTGTGACATATAGTCGTGGGATAACTGACAACAAGGCGGCCGGAGAGAACCGCCGACAATATACAGCAACAAGTGAAGTGTCAATGTGTAAGAGTTTATAAATAGATTTCTTCTATTTATAAATAGATATTCGACTAGTCCTTTTTTTTTCTACTTTGGACGTTGGACCAACGCTAACAGAACGAGCCTAACGATACTGTACCTTAAAGTAACCACTCACAAGCGATATCTAGGTTACAAGCCTCTATCGCAGTTGAGTTTCCCATGGATGTTTTTCGGGTCGAGTTTCAAATCTGAATCAGAGCTTCGTGGTCCAAAAATTACCATTCTGGAAAGACGTAGAGGGCCTTACGTATTGAGTAGATAGAACGTTGTTATGTCGTCACTTGGCCGCAGTGTTACTTTCAGCTACGTTGAACTAGAGTTACCTTATATGCATATACTAATAATATAGGTACAGGCTCATAGTAGAATACTAATATGAATAGTGTATATATGATTAGCCTGGCGCGAGGGCGAGAGCCAACAACGTAATGCTTACTGCCGCAAGAGTTTCTAATCAGGTCGTTATCAGATCTACAAATGCATCAAGCTTCTTTACCAAACAGACTACAGCTGTACGGTAGATCAGTCTTCATGAGCCAACCACTTACACTGCCGCACACAGACGAGCAATTACTGCAGGCAGATAATCTAAGTTAGGCTCAAGGCCCATTCCATTCACTTAACGTTACGGTTACTCATGCGCGCAGCGCTCGAATCGGCCCCGCGCTTGTCCGTAGCTCTATTTCCCTTCCGTTTATGATTAATGCCTGTGAAATGAAAACGATGACTGTTTCGGCGACTTTCAAGTTCAACGGTTCTCGTCTGCCTCGTGTATTTATTCGGAAATCTGCCTACAATCGGTAGTTCCTGCAATAAAAAAAATAAAACAGGAAGTTGGCAATACAGGAACTGACCAGGATGATTAGCTGTTGTTGGTAATGGGCAGATGATACTACAAACCTAGCGCGGTAAACTCACAACGGTATCTATTTTGAAGCTTCACGGAGACAACGGCAGTCATCCGCAGGCTAGTTGACAAGTGGCATCTGCCAGCTAACTGTCTCTTTTATGCTCCTACTTTAGGTTTGCTTGCTCTTGCTTTACCTGGCTCCTATTCATTAGGTTTTACCGTGCTATGGGGTTCGCCGTTTATGGCGCAAAGCGAATCTCACCCTTAATGGTATGAGAGGGAACTCGACCGGTGTCTAATTTGCGTGGGACTGTGACCATGTGTGCAGGCGATCGGCGGAATAGAGATACAGCCACGCTGCATGTAAACCCAAACGGCCTAAGCTCACTTAGACATCTCATTGCACGCTATTTGTTGCTATTTATCGCTACACATTGTGCGATGCACGTTTCAACCCGTCAGTAGAAAAACACGCCAACGAAAAATCGATTGGCAGACATCTAAGCGCATAATAGTTGACAGTGGGCACTGCATAGATTAGATAGCAAACACTATAGAAACAAAGTGTATAACTAGATCAAGAGAATTCTACCTGTGCGTTTACATGTAGCTTGTGTTAATTCACAAGCTGACTCGTCAATCGTAGCCAGCCACGACGATAACATTCACCTCTAAAGGCTGAGTGGTCACGGCCACTGTCGATTCACGCCCGCCTTGGTACAACATACAAATATCATCTTTAACCTTAGTACATTACGAGAAACATTAAAAAAGGATACTCATTAATAACACTAGCTGCATTTTCTATATACTGACCAATTTTCAGGAAGTTAGATAATGCTGACCATCGGGTTTTAGCAGGAGCCCTTTTACACACCTATCAGGTTACGCCAATCCCGAATCACAGATATATACAAACTGTACGAAATTGGGGATATCCAGTCTCTCAGATAGTTTCCGCGTTTCGGTTTACCTTAGAAGTCCTGTCCCCGTTTTGCGGGGTGTCCCCGTTGCGAAGCGGATCGGCGAACAGATCTTTTACCGGTCCTTTGGACGCCTTCTTCCTTGCCTTTTCTATTCAGCCCCGGCATCCTCGCTTCTACTGCGGCATTATCAAAGCTACTTTACGATACTTCGAGGCCAGTTGGCGGGCTATTGGTCTCGCCGTCTTCGTTTCCGTCGTTGATCCGCCGTGTATGTCTTTTCTCGTCTCCTTTACATCTACGTGATTTTTCTTCTTTGCTTTTCCCCTGCTGCTTTCGCATCTCTCTCATTCTTTGCCTGTCTTCCCGTTGCTGTCGGCCTTACGCTAAGCAAAGGGGCTTTTTTCTTCGTGGCAAATCAACTCCTCTTAAGTTGAGCCGTCACGCCATTCCTCGTATAGAAAGCTTCGCTTAGTTCTTTCAGCTCGGTCATGACGCGAGCAGCGCTGCCTCTACCGGTGTTCTATCCCTGTTCTCGTCCCTTTTAAATGTCCAATTTACTCCCGAGAGAGTGGAGAGCGAACGGGAAAGGAGAAAAAGAAAGAGGAGCGTCTGCGGGAGATGGACCCCACGTGGCAGCAGTGACGGCCGAAACAGCCAACGAGAAAGCGAGGCAAGAGGCAAAGAACCAAGCCCAGTAAGGACACTCCGGTCCAGGTCAAAAGTTGTTCCGGCAGTAATCGCTGCATCGACTGCGTGGAACGGAAGTAAGCAGGTGAAAGAGGGGAAAGTAAGGGGCGCAAGAACGAGCTAAAGTGAGATACTAGTAAAGCTAGACCAAATGTACCTAGCTGGGGTGGGTCCATTGCCGTCCATTGCCGAACTGTCGACTGAAATCGCTGAGCGGCTTGTTCGCCCTCGGGTGGATGTGTGGCTACGCCCCATATTGCTCTTTCACTTTTGACTGCCAGCCCAGACCTGCTGCTGCCACTGAGTGTTCACCAAATCAGCCGACTTGAGACAATGTCTCAACTTGAGAATAAGGAAAAAGAAAAGGAGGAAACAGGCTTATTGTTCGAAACTCACGAATCCTGAAGTCCTAAATACCCTACGTAGTATCACTACTTCTAGAGCGTTTACGGCCGCTACCTACTGCTCTGTCTCAGACAGCAAAAGGAAATCAGGGCCGTACTAACGAGCCTGGAACAGAACGTTCCACATATCTCGACTTGCAGCTAGTCTCCGGGGGCAAACCCTTGCGCCAGATTTTATTTATAGGCACCAAGTGTGGAAAAAGCGTGAGAATAGCAGAACAACGTGTAATATACGTATTTGAAGTGATATGAACAAGCATCATATTCGAACTTATTGAATGTGTCTTTAGAGGACTTGGTAAAGGACTAATAAACGCTTCCTGTACTAAAAGGTCAAGTGTGTTACTGATAAGTGTATATATAGATCAGTCATAGTTCGAGAAATGGAAGACGAATGTTGAAAAATCTGTATATGTATTTATATATACACCAGGCGCTTAGTTTTCAGCGATGCCGATCGCATCTTCCCCATCAAACACTGCTTTGCGACTAGTACTGCTACTCGCTCTACAACCTAGCTCGCTCTCAATACAACCAGAATATATCTTTCAGTATCTATAAATTTATGATCGTGTATAGTAGCCAAGAATATACAACATTCAGTTGAGGCAAACATGTAGTTGCTTTTATGTTTAAGCGTTTTGCAGCTCAGGAATCATCGCTTCCCGTATTTCCCCTGCCAACTCTCTCACGACGCGACCCAGTACAGTTTCTCAAGGACTCTCAGTTCTCTTTAATTGAGTCGAAACGTTCAGGCAGCTACAAGGTTCTGCATTCTTGCACCTTGGAGCTCTCCGAGGCACCGTCACCTTTGTATTTCCATTATGCAAGCATTCTTTATTATGTCAGTTGTACTTCACTATCGCCAACTGAACAGTCACTTCCGTAATAAGTACGTTATTTGGCAACGGTAACGATTCGCTTCCTAGGTGAGTTCCCCTGAACAACATCCGATTTACCGTTGTATCGTGTTACGTGCTCGTTACAATATCTGCGGTGGAGACAGAACTACAAAACGGCCGTTGGCCGTTAGTGGTTGCTGCCGGAAACTTCGTTAAAGCCATGGCACTTATGTTCTAATAGTGGCTGTCCTCTCTTGAGGTAGGTTCGTGATGTCGCCTGCGTTGCCGTTACCATCAGTGCGACAGAGACTGTCGCAGCTGGCCAGTTCGAGGGTAGTTGGTAGTGGGTACCTGTGCGGTTCCTGCGGGGGTAGGGAACTGACGAATACGTATAGGGGATACGCGTCGCATTCATTTCCGACAGCCGAGACTGCGTGAACAGAGCCCGACTGTTAGTTAGGGCGATGCTAAAGGCAAAAGCTTGCATTCCCGCACTGCGCTGTATTCTTGATGTTAGTGCACGACGATGAAATTGCCGTTTCGTGGGTCAGCCAACATGGCGTTCAGAGGCAGACACTATTCAGGCGGTAGTCAGACTCAGTAATCTCGTGATATCCTGTTTTCACCGTCTTCGATGAGCTGTGGTGACCATGGCGCCAGCAAGTCTCAATTCTGTATTTGTATCTACGTTGGGTCAGTTGGACCTTACGTGAATGACAGGCCAGTGTATGTGTTTATGGTATATGGCACGGAGGCGTCAGCTGGGTTGGCCATCCTTGGGACTGGTTATACCGTAGTGGGCTGTGGCCATCTGAGGCGCGTCCGTCTGAACCACTGTTTAGCGCCATTGGGGCTCGGGGAGTTAGATAGTGTAGCTATAGAGAACCGTCATGCTATATTAACAACGGTCAAGCATGATCTTCGTGGTTCTTCTGATCTTTTTCCCGGTAGGTGCCTGCACCGAAGATCCATCAAACGCATGAACGTGACAAATGATAGACATCAGAATTTAAATCACTTCGCCTAGTTAAGCCTAATATACGTATATATTTTTTCTGTTCTAGGGAATAGCTATATGCTATATACGGATTGGAAGCGAGCAGGATATGTGGGAACCGGTAGTTCTGGGGAATACTGAGCCATAAAAAATCAGTAGTCCTAACACAGCAATCGAAATACGTCGATCCGGTAGGCCAGTGGATTACTTCAACATACGCAATACCGGCTAGATCTAATGTAGTAAGCTATATTTCCGGGAAAAAAACATCTCCATGTATCGGCGGGTTGCAAACCCGTCTCAATCCAATCCATAAATTATGCGCTAAACAATATAGTGCATTTATTAACGTCTGTTTTGTACGTATCCTCGGCTTCGTTCGTTCCATGTTATGGTCAGCATAATGTATTTTCTGTTCTATCAACTAAGTAACGATACGCAATGCGACTTAAAAACAAATAAGTTTATTGGCTAGATACACCTTTGATACTTACTGATTCGTTACCGTATATCGGCATTTTCGGCCAACCAGGTTCGAGAAACGTTTACGACTCAGCACAGAATTGCGAATCATAGAAAACCGTCCTTGAAATTTCATTTATCTTCAATGACTGTTTGTGGTCGACGAAAAGTTCAAATGGTGCTGCAGTTACTGCATATAATCAAAAGTTATGAGTTATACAATGGATCAAGTATGTGTCCTAAGTAACTAAATAAAGGGCAGATTTCAATGAACATAAATGTACGAAGCGAGACAAACATCGGCTCATCCATTTTGTTATACGACCAACCAAAGTAGAGCTAGTTGGGCACGCCAATGATTGTGGGTTGCTATTAATATGATCGATTAATACGTGATATGGCATCACAACAAATCGATTAATACGTGGCATGGGGTGTCGTTTGTCATAAACCAGTCATTTTTGTCAGCACTGAACCGTAACTTCAAAAGGTTTACGCACTGTTCGTAGCACGTTCGACGTTCAACTTTACATGGCTGCGAGATGGCTGGGAGAGCTAACTGTGGAACTTGGCGGATTATTGCTAGTCTGACACCAATTTTACGTTATGTCCTATGAGTAGTCACGGGACAACATCTACGTGCAACCTACTGTTTAGGCTATCAGAAGCCTTCGATCGGACATTTCCGCTCGATTGAAACATCGTTGTCGACCTGCCTTCCGAATACAATCCGTGTGAATTTGAATAGATTCGATACGTTTCGATTACATACGAGAAACATAAAAAACCGACAAATTGCACTGGAGTTAACCATGACTTCGCCTGTGGCTTACATAGAGTTACAGCTTTTGCCGTGTAGCAAGGCCAGTACTTGTGTTGTTTAGCATGACGCCTTACCTATCAACTTCTATAGAATTGATAAACACATGCCCTTCGATTGATGGCGTCCAATATTACCGTGGCTCACCATTCCTGAGCAGCGACACAGAGCGTATGTGTGCGCACGCTAGCCTGACGGACGTAAATCGGTGAATTAGCGATAGCCAATTGCCGACTAAGGCGACAGCGACTGGTTAGGGCTTAATTACGCGCAGAATAATGTTGTATTCTCTAATGATCTAGAGGTTCGAAAGTTACTACAGGGGAGCCGGGGTGTATGAAAATGAATAGGATGATCCTGTGGCAGTTGTTTTAAAGTGAAGACCAGTTAGCGTTGCCAGAGGTGAGGGGTAGTCGAGGCGGTTGTTCGTCGAAACGGAGCAGTGGTTTCCACTTAGAACAAGTGCGGCTCGTAGTAGCAGTTGTACGGGCAAGTTTTTCTGCTATTGGAAGCGATGGGTTCGAGTCGGCTAATCGGCCCAGGCTGTCAAGCTCGATTAGCGCAAGTTCGCTAGGGTATTTAACTATATAATGAGAGAGATAGGGCTGGTCCAACTGTTCATGGCACTTTTGGAATTCGCCCTAGGGAAGTAAAAAGATAGCAAATCAACATGCGGGTTCCAGCCAGTACGATCTAATCGTCATATCTCAACTCCGGAAACGGAACTCGAAGTTCGGACGAAATGAAGTCAGTCAACGATAGTACTACCAAATAGCACCTTTAGGAGTTCTAGCAGTCTCGCTGATTGTTTCTATTTCATTGTAATTAAAAGAACGTAATTGTTCAACACAAGTAGACGTTTTAGCTCTACATAAACCGTGTAATAACAAATCCTTGAGCAAGCACTCACAACGAGGAATATTCCGGCGCTTGCTGCGTACTTTTCTAGCTTAATTTATTTGTATAGTGGCTACGATGCTTGTCTGAACTGTATGGATAGTTCATTCTAGTGACTAAATATTCTATGAGAAAAGGTTCTTACACAGGTTTACTCGCGTAAATCGTCGTAAATTCGCATACCTGTTCGTGTGCATGATACGGTTTCTAATCTAAAAAATATGTCGAAATCCACGGCTGATTAACTTCTATAGAGAATGCGTATATTCGCTCATCGCGATGGACGAAGCGTGTCCGAGTATCACACTTCTTCAACCCGAACGGTTTAGAGTAGCTCAAAAACAAATAACAATTTTTAGTGTAAACGTTAACAAAAATGAAGCTCAGGTTTGAATATAGGCAGCGTGGTCAAAACCCACAATAAGCTACCTTTGTTTGGCACAGTGACCCATCAGATCCGGCCAATTTCTCTTCTAAAAGCGTTCATGCCCGGAACCAACTTGTTGGAGTGGGACTTTAAGTGGCTATGGCCGGGCTGTTATTGTGAGCAGAAAATAAGCACAAACGATACATTGTGCAAATGGCAGTTTCGTTCGTAAGAGCAGCAGCACCAGTAAACCACCAGGTTACGCGTCTGCATGTGGTATGGCGGCCGTGACTATGGCCGACGTTCGTATTAGCTTCTGGCGTCACCTATGACAGAAACTAGGAGTAACGAATTGTATTTTTTCTAGGCTCGACTAAGAGCCCGTCCTTAAACAATAGAACAAGAATGACTATAGATTTATCGTTAACTCTGGGTTATTTGTTTTATCCAGCGTGTTTTTATTTAAGTGAGGGTAGATTGAATATTTTATCACGATCATTTTTCTGTACCTTATACATTCGAAAAGATATGTAGCCAAAAACTATTACGCAACAAAAGATGGAAATGATAGATCGGGTTACTTGATAGGATTGTTGCATACAAAAATTCGTGACCTTTAATAAGATAATTTTCGATGAGATAAATGCTTCGATTTTATAAATGTCGTAGTGCCTCAAAGTTAACAAGGCCCTGCCAACTGGCAAAACCTTTGGCTCTTCTGTGGACGCAACATCATCATCACCTGCCTACTGAAAGTTAAGATTTTTGTGATGATCCTTAAGTTAACAGTCACTTCACTAGAATTGGAATGTGTTTGCAATTTATGTATGTATTATCTGACTGGACTCTGGTGAATACGCAGAAACATTCGTTTTTAAAATCCTATTGCTCAAAGTACTTCGTAAAAAGGACCAGATTTGCAAAATGATAACGAGCCGTCAAGAGGTCCTCTATTTAGGACGTATGCTCTATATAGAAAAAGCTTGCCTCTCAAACTTACTCGCCTCTGCTGGCCCAGATACTATTCACCCTCGGGGGTGTCAGTTCTTATCCGAATTTTTACTAACTTTATGAGAATGTATCGCCATACTTCTTTGCTCGAAATTGCCGACATCGTCTCATTGTTCTACGTTCCTTCTCCGTGCTTGAATTGTGCCCTGTGTCCTATGTATGTAAGGGTGTGTATGTATTTATTCCTTCCTCACGTGAAAGAGGACGAACCCGTCAGTGCTGTCACGTCACATGCAATTTCTCGAATTACTTTAACTGTGATATACACAACCGACAAATTCGCTTATACACATACATACAATCATGGGAGATTCAGACAAGTACGTTCACATTTGCTCTTGCGACCCCTTGGCCTTTTGAAGCCCTACAGCCTTGATCTGTGGCTCGGAAGCTGATGCTCACTTACATTCGGGTAAAAGAGTCTGCCATTCCTGAGACTAACTATAAGTCGTCAGCTTTTCCGAAATCACTCTCGTTGCCCTGCCAGAGCTCGACTTGTTGTGGGTCTCTCATTGGCTGTACATTGTAGCTGGCTCACCGAGACGATCCTCTGGAGCGGGGGGTGACGACAAGAAGGCAAGAATGGAAGAGGCGAGATGTTATGTAACAGCAGCGGTGAAAATAATGAGGAGGTGGGCCATACGCAAGAGCAGAGGAAAACCAAATTAAATATAATACTTAATGAAGTCTAATCAAACTGCTATCTTTGAAGACGGTTGAGTCATGTCCCGGTGGACAAAATGTTGATTTGTTTTAACATAATTCCACTGAACGATTGCAGAAAGCATGGGGTGGCAGGGGTCCTAGATGTTAGGGCAGACTTTGTCTACCGCTCATGGAAGCGGCGTAAATTATAATCGTTCAGATATTAGATTGTAAATATACACAGATTGTGAATGTTCTGTGCTTGTTCAGAAGTAAATACTGGCGTAGACCTTAACGGAATCCGTTAATTTATTATCTTTCTAGCAAAATGTTCGGAATATAACTGCTCTTGCCGTAAGTGGAACACTTACCGTCAATACGTATGTTCAAGCTACTTAAAACTACTCTTTCAGTTCTACTTTCACAGTGGCTGGTCCCGAAATCGTATATTGGGCTACCAATTTTTATTGTGGAAAGCTTTCATGTAAAGGCCAGCCGTTTATTCTCCAGAAGTCAATACAAAACTGTTGAATGTACATAAGGCATGGTACTTAACGGTGTGCTTTTATGCTACTTCCGATTGACGATATACTAAAGGAGTGGGTATAGCGTTTCGGGTACGCTGATTAAATCAAATGAATTGTTTCTATCAAAAATGATAAGTACCAGATCGCTTGGCAAGATCTCTTCGAGCGCTTAACTAAGTGATTTTAAGAGACGGAACGAATCATATTATCAACCCTCAAGTGCGGTGCGTTCCGTTTTGACCACGGAAATTCCAAGCTTGGTTTTATATTGTATCTTCTTACTTAGATCTTACGTAGATCTACTTAGTTGAGATTGATGTTTTCACAAATACAGAGGTCCAGCTTTGGTACTATTTCAATTTGTGGTGCAAGATCGTCTTCTCGTATACTGTTGGATCTTTAGGGTATTCAATTTGGCTTTTTCGTCCGCCTATATGAAATTGCACAAAGCCCATTGTATATCCCCAGTTTTTTATGAACCAATTATCGAAAATTCGTTTAGGCTTGGAGATTTTGATCCACTTGATGATTCATACGTTGCAATCAAACTTCCTTTAAGAAGTTGACTCTTGTAATAAACTTTATTAGCAGCACTTAGTTATGGTGTCGGTTACTGACAGGCTACTGAGAGCTGCTCTCAAATAATTACGAAGAATCACAAAAAAATCGAAGAAATTTTACGTGTTTCTAGATTATAAAAAAAAAAAAAAAACGGATTCATATCTTATGAAAGGTAACGAATCATCGGTTTATATAACGGGTTACCTCTGCCGACAGTTAAAGATAATATACTGTGAACTACTATGCGCGAAACAGCATAAGTCTATTACTGTAAATTTTCAACATTTTACAATAATGTGTGCTATGCAATTTTAGTCTCATCCACCAACTTCTTTTATAAAATAATAAAAAAGACAGTTCACACCCTATGAAAGTGAGTTAAAGATGTACAAGAAGGCGATCTGTGTGATTTGTTGGACTTACGTGGAAGAAAAGGCCGGTTAAATTTATAAAAAATAATAACATTGTCACACGCTCAATCCTTGAAAGAGATTGCCTTGGTTCGCTCTGTTTGGGTCGTTGTTGGTATTCGCTACTATTATTTATTTGTGAGGCGAAAGCATTGCAATATAAGGAGTATACTATGATATAAATACTAAAAATGCGCTTTTTTGTTTCCGAGATATATTTACAGAACACTGTTTATGTGAAACGTATGCAGCTGTTGCACATTTGTATAGCTTTCCTGACAAATTTGTTCCTCTCCTAAATTTAGACGAAATATACGAAAGCACTTGAATCTATCAGTATTACGTGACGAAACTTCAAGTTAACCGTTGATCCACATACAGTTATTTTCTAAAGTAAACTAGTCTAAGGGACATATTATCATGC